CCCCCCCCCACCCCCGCTTTAACAAAAGCCAAATACGTCATGAGTATTTACCTGCTTTAAGAACAGCACACATGGAGTTTACTGTAGAATACTTTATTTTTGCTTGGAATTAATTTTCGCTATTTTCGCTGAAGGAATGATTAAGTGAAATAAAATCCAGCAAATATACCTTTTTTCTATATTTTACATTCAACTTGTCAAAAATCAGTGAAAATAAATTCCATACAAAAACACCCAAAAAGTCTTTTCAGTGAAAATTAATTCCAGCTAAAATAATGTATTTTACAGTATAGATATATCAATTTGATCAATTTTTATGAAGACAGATAAATTACATGTCACAGCTGGGGTGTAAGTGACTGAAACTTGGATACATAACTGTGGACTTGCTAAATTAATAGTTTGTGAAGGTTTCTCTTTGAAATTGGTTGTCAACCTCAACCACAGTGGCCCAAGTGGAAACCTAGGGCTGGATCCATCAGTGAAGCGTTCCACTCACACTGGACACCATGTCAGTCTACAGTCAAGCAGGAAGAGCAGAATTTTGTGTTAATGCTTTTTCCAGAGGAACTGCCATTCAGATTTGAAGCATGTTGGATAGCAAATTTCAATATTTGGTTCAGGTAACTCTTGCATGTCTAATATGTCTATTATTGTTGTATTTGCATTGTCACAGATCTCTTCAAAGTAGTACCGCACAGACAAGTGAAATTTTAACAGACGAGGTTGAAGTGCAGTCCATACATAGAGTCCATGTCAAGGTGGGTGTGGCTTATACATACCATATTTGTTCTATTAGTAATGCTTTGGTCACATGAAGGACAGTGGTTACATGAAATTATCTTTATAGTAGTTGCAGATATTTAATATATTCATTATTACAAGTGCAGTTTCTAGTTTGAATATAAGTTAACATTCTATATAATTGCAGAACAAAAAGTGTAACCTTTTTTTTTTATATATTTTCTGCCGTTTCTTTAGTTAATTCTGAACCAAATGGAGAGAGAAAGATAGTGATTTGATATATAAATTAATCTATTTAGGAATAAAATGTCAATGTTGACTTTTGTGTTTATGTTTGTTTTCAGATTCAAACTGAAGATGAACCTGAGAAGAAATTTAGATTATTAGATGACAACTCTAAGGTGAATATGTTAATGTTATATGTATATTCTGTAGTTTCTATCATACTATCTTAGGTGTTCATGTATTGATCTTTTTCACTACCAGACTTTCTCGCCCAAATTTGTCTGCTCTTTTTTCTTGTATTCTTCAATATTTTGTGATGAAAAGAGGGGAATGTGTTTTCACATGTGCCGACTAAAGGTTTTTATGTATCATCTTAGTGCCAACATTGAGCAGAATCATGATCATGCATACTGGGTTACAGGTTTGGGATTAAAACAAAAATGGCCGACTGGCAGCAATTTGGTTATTTTATGGTATCCATGATACGTGTAGTATCTCTAGAATATGGATGATACAATGAAATCACCCAGCCATCTCTGAGAAGCAGTGTTAAGTTGAAATGAGGTCTGTCAAAGCAATTCTGAGAAATAGCACCAGGCGGACAGAACCCAAATTAATAGTTCACGATTTCAGACTACATTCGAAACAGGTTCTAATGAGTTATAGACTTTGTTTTCAAGTACACTAGTATGTTATCAAGGACTTATAAGATGGTTTGCTATGGGCTGAAGATCTCGTGTGAATTGAAGAAGTTGGGTGAATCTTCATACTAATTCATACTAATGCAAATAAGTGGTTCTGTGTTCATCCCAGATTGTTTCTGCCAGTGTCTTTGCTTATTCATGAAACGTGTATTACAATGAGTGTTATCGGCATGTACAATCAAACCTTTCTAAGCGTCCACTGCATTCTGTGATGCCATTGGTTAAATACGTTTGATAGATACACTGATCTCCATCATCATCATTAATGTATATAGATATCAAAGTTGCAGCCCTTTATCTTAAAAATTCTTGATGTTATATTTATATATATATGTATTTTTATCCCATTCTGTTTCCATCAGGAATTATGTGACTTTATCACAGAAGTTGAACCATTTGTGAGTCGGCAACTTGAAATAAACAATAGAAGTCATGCGTTTGATGGTATGTGCCCCTTTAAAGACATGTGCCCCTTTAAAGACATGTGCCCCTTTAAAGACATGTGCATGCTATATAAACAAACTAACACGCTGTGGTCTAATATTCATTATTATACATCAGTCATCGTAACGCCATAAGTTACAGCATCCTGTAATTTTGCCTTATTTTATGGGGTATTTTCATCCTACCATATTAGGAAATGCGAATTCCAAATATGAAGTGATTACGCGCGTAAGCGTCCTCTAATAGTAAAAACAAACATTGCTACCACCAGGGTTTGACCGGACTCCACACAAAGAAGTTCGCTGATTCTGTTCTAAACATTTTGGATTTTGGCATTCCTATGATGTATCCTTGGAAGGAAAAAATGTATAATAATAATAATAAGGTTATTACGAGGATACCTCAAAATATGAACTCAGACAGTATGCCGTGCATCGACTTCTGCTTTGCGTCGGTCGATACTCCAGCTGTACTGTCTTCGTGTATACTTTGAGGTATCCTCGTAATAATCTCTTATTATAAATGATATACTGCAAACAAATCAGTATTTGTCGTGTATATCAATTTGAACCCCCATCTAGAATGTATCTTTGTATTAGTCTGTGTCTCACCATTTAATTTTATATTCAGAATAAGAAAAGGTGGTATTCATTTTGCTCTGTATATAAAAATGTCAACTCTGTACTTATTTCTGCATTCACCAATTGGGACAAACAAGCTATTTCTGCATTTGTAGTTTGTAATACAGCTTCTGATTGGTTGTTGGCCAATTGCAGGTATGTGTGAGGTTCGAAATTGGTACTCTGTACCACCGGAATGCGCCGGCACATTTCCCAAAATAAGATTTGTGCTACTCCTAGTTGATGAACAGGCTTGAAAATCATTGCTGTAACTTCGATGGCGCAGAATACTGCGCAGAATGATGAAGAAACTAGGGGGCGCGCAATGTTTATTTTGGGAAATGCACTGATTACCAAGAGTAGCGATTTCCCCACACATACCTTCTAATTGAGTTGCAAACACAATTTCCAGATATATATATTATGTACTTAGAGGAACATGTAGTTGTGTTTTTATTCCCTGCGTAGATTATTAAAATTTCCAAAATAATAAATTTTACTGAAAATTATTTCTATGAGTTAATTGAGTTAATTTCACAATATTACTATTATTAATACTGTTATTTCCTTCACACATCAAGTACCCTACTAAGAAATGTGCCTGTTTATCCTACTAGGTTATGAGGTGAATTGGCGAGAAGATAGCCATGCAGTGACTTGTTTACATACATTAACCTATGCAAGCATGGATGGAGAGTCACAGTCTACCGGTCTGTCTTGGAACTCAATAGGTTCCGTTATTGCTGTATCTTATGGAAGGTTTGATCATCAAGATTGGTGTACACACAAGGTATAAAAATAATTTCATATGTGACCATGCCGACTCATCACATGACCATTTTGCCATATTATGATTGGCCGAAATGTAATAGGCTTGTTAAAAAAATGCTTTGATGATAAATAATATTGTATGATAGTTATTTAATTTAATTATTACTTTACCTGTCTCATCTATTGATATTTATTTTTTACAGTCTGCATTGTGTACTTGGAATGTTGATAGACGAGTAAATCCCAATAAACCAGATGTTACTATTGATGTCTCAGTAAGTGTTAACATGTACTATAGTTTTCTTTAGTTTTCACCCTCCTTCTCTTCTCATCTCCAGCTCAAATTTATATTTGATTATTTGCAAAAAATACATGGGTAAATTAGGACAGTACAGTTGGATATAAAGCCGATTTTAACAGTTTGATTGCAAGTTCAGTTTTTTCGTGTTTTTTCTTGTGATGTATGCAACCCATTTCCTACTACTCATTACTTAACACAATGCCAGTGGGAAACCTCCATGGATAGCCAAAATAAATAGGAAAAAATAGCATCAATACGTGATATGTTAAATAATGCCGCCCAAGAATATTGTTATCACAAAATGAATGCTCCGATAAAAGTAATGATAATAAATGTTCATTTTGTATTTCAGAGTTGTCTTATGTGTATATCTTTTCATCCAAAGAAACCTTCTATAATAGCTGGTGGTAATTTCAATGGTGAGTATGGTATTAGTCAGCATCAACATATTAAAGTTACAGTAAACTTCTCAAAAACACATAAAAACAATGGCCATGCTGTGAATAACCTGACTTTCACCAATCATAGCTATCTATTGTGTTCTATACATGGACAATCATAGTCTATATCGACAATTTTGCTATCTGATGAATACTTTATTTTAGCTGTGATTAATTTTCGCTGAAAATACTTTTTGAGTGTTTTGTATGGAATTTATTTGCAGTGATTTTTGATGAGTTCAATGTAAAATATAGGAAAAAAGGTATATTCGCTGGATTTTATTTTAACTGAATCATTCCTTCAGTGAAAATAGCGAAAATTAATTTCAAGTGAAAATAAAGTATTTTACAGTATCTGATGAATATTCTTATTACTGGTATTATAAATAATAAATTTGTTCAACTAACTGTTTTAACAATTTTGCTGTGTTTTTAGGGGAAATTGTTATTTGGGATTTAAGTAAAGAAGATGACACAATAGTTGCCACATCTGGTATTGGCGATGATTCTCACAGAGAACCGGTGTCAAAGGTCAAATGGATTGAAGATCCCTTGTCAAAGGGCAGAAAATATAATGTTAGTTTTGATAGTTAACTATTATGTTTGCGATTACGTAACTTGAGGGACGCTCACCAGTACTGAAAATTTTACTTCTACAAAATTTAATACTTTCTCGTAATTGAGAAGTTAAATGACAGTGGTCGTCGTGCAGCTTCATGTTCAAATTGGACTCATAGAGATGTACACCACGTGTATGAGATTTAACCTGGGCGTGACTTGCACTAATTACCAATGGTGACTTCTTTGATACCTTCCAATCACCTAAAAATACCTAATTAAAACTTGGTAACGTTTCGGTTTGTATTCGTTGATCTGCGCAACAGTCAAAGTCGGCATCTTTGTTTATATGAGACCCATATGTCTCGCGCATACATGGTGCGACTACTACGACCCTTTAATGAACAGAGTAACTTGTGCAGCATCCAATTGTTGAGCGCCCCCTATAGGCCAAATGATTGTTTTCTTTCCCAATTGTTTTTGTTGAAAGTTAGTAATTATAGAAAACTTTTTTCAGATTGTTAGTGTAAGCAGTGATGGCAAAATACTGATATGGAAAGTGAATCGAAGGAAAGCTAGTCTGGAATTAGTGGAAGGATTTATATTATTGACAGAAAGTATGCCAAGAAGTGTGATGCGAAAATCTAGAGTCAAAGGAGATGCTGAAATGGGTGGTACGTATCTGAACGTTGAATTAGGGTAGAGAAAAATGAATACTACATTAAGCTAATCAAGTTTTGAAAATAATTGATTTGTTCATAGTTGCCTGATTTTCCAGACAAACAAATTAGATTTTGTTGTCCCTCTCACAACCATCATCAACTTTAGTAACCTTCCACAAAATAGTCCCACTCAAAATCTTTTAGTTTTCATAATAGTTTTTAATCAGAATTCAAAAGTTTCAATCAACTTCTATCAGCAATATCGTAGTCTACCTAATGTGTTCAAAATTAAACTTTTTATTTTCAAAAAATTATTATGTACCTAAATTTTAGAAAGAAATAATTCTGGCAGGTAAAATGTTGTAGTTTTTGCTATACATTAGTCAAAAATTAGTTTTAAACCCTTTCCCACCTGTCCATGTAGTGTATAAGGCTAATCTTGGGATAATTCAGGTTTTTGATAAAAATCAACATTATCATCTGGATCTCATATATTAGGCCATGGAAGGTACTAACGGAACGAGCCACGACGCTATTGTTTTAGCTTTACCCCATGATCATTTGTCAGCGTTTGTTCACAAACATTGTTCTTGTTAGCTTTTAACACCTTCGTACAATGGGTTATGCTAATCTCGAGCATTCGGTAATATTCGGAGCATGTTCGGAAGCGATAGTCGAACCTCGCATGTACAATATTGAAAATGGTGTCTAGTTTGAATGCTGTTGTTTCCGGAGATCTTGGCGAACTTTAATGGAAAATTGTCAGATATAACATTGATTGATAAAGAACTGATGAAATATCGTGAATTTTGTATTTGTAATGGTAATGAGACTTAATCAATGATTGCTTGGTACGATTGCAATGGTACCATTGTCAGTGCGTGGGTTTGGCGCCCAAAATTTTTTACCGCCGGACATCTGCGAACACCAACAGAAAAGATAGTATCGAAAGAAGAGCATGCCTAGACACTTTCTCTGTGATAATATTTTTTAGGAGTCCTTAGAAATTGTTGTTGTATGCACTTGGAATCTTGTTAAAGTTACAGTTGCTAATAATTAAAACATGTGAAATTTGTGAAGTCAAACGTTCATCTGTTGAATTTCAGGTTGTGAAATACGTAAATTGACCTTTCACACCTAAACAAACCCAGTGCGTATATGTGATGACCGTAGTTTCAAAATGCGCATATATTTTATGGTCACATTAAAAATCGGCGAGGTTATATCATACTCCGCTAACTCGTTACTTGTGTAAACAATCGCAAACTATCATCGACATCAAAGATGAGCTAGACAATGTCCTTATCAGGATTAATTTGGGTTGAAACAAAAGGAAATAAACCAGTTAAGAGGCTTAAGTGGCTACTTGATAGGCGTCGTGGCTCCTTCCGTTAGTACCTTCCATATATTAGGCTAGTTAAGCTCTATTTACGCATAAAAGAGTGACAATGAGGGGCGAGGTATGGAGATGCAGGTCTTGCTTTTTGGAAATAGCCTTGGAGCTTGAAATGACGCTCCCCTGAACAAGGTGATGAGATAAGAGCTGTGGTTTTATAATCTCTTCAAAATGGGATGGATTGGGCGAGTGATAATAACGCTTCTTGGGGTCGATATGCAAGTGGACTAATTACTCTGCTTAGAAAGTTAGGTCTGGGGATGAATATGGTGCTAAGGTACGGTAATATCTTTTTTCCCCCAGTGGTGGGGCACTACCTATTACAAATGTCAGTGATTTTCCTCATGCCTACATATCCCAAAGTGGGGAGAGTTAGGGTTTATATTACAGAATACTGGTAATACCAATACCTTGGTAAGGAGTGGTGAGACAATACTTGTAATTGCTGGTACCCATCAATAAAATGTGAATAATTATTGCTGCAACCAGTGAAAATAAGTTTTTTTCTTATATTCTAAATTCAACTCATCAAAAATCAGTGAAAATAAATTTCATACAAAACAACCAAAATGTTTTCTACGGTATATTCATTATTACTGTACAATCATGTGCTTAACTAATTACATACTATTTGTATTTTTGCCAGTCACGTGTATATCATATGCAATTGAAGACAAATCATTATTTGTTGTCGGTTCTGAGTCGGGAGGTGTGTTTAAATGTTCCATGAATGCAAGAGGCTCACCAGCAAGTAGCAATATTGAATCATCTGTACCACTTCGTTCGCCAGTCACGTTTTCATTCCAGCCACACCATGGTCCAGTATATGCCGTAGATAGTTCACCATATCATAGAAACCTACTGCTTTCATGTGGTACAGATACAACAGCAAGAATATACAGTATGCTGCAGGTATGTGTAAATCTAGGAGTGGGTGTGGCAGTATTTGATCTTTGGGTGCAGTCACTGCACCACACATAAGCATGCAAAACGTAAACAAGTGCGATGGTCTATAGAGTGCTCAATGATATGTGTTGTTCGTCATCATTTGCCGGACAATAATTAACCCTAATATAAAACCCACTTGTGAAATCATGAGATTGTTCACATTGAGACTGCTGCTATCAGACTTGTATTCATTTGAAATATATTCCATCTCTAATTGATACAATCTTGATGTAGGAAGACGCACATTTTGCTTGCGTGATTGTGTGATAAAATAACAGCATTGTTTGCCACTGATACCCTGTCACTGTTGTATTACTGTGCAGTATTTGTTTACTGTGGCAGTAAATTTGTTTTACACCTGACCAGATACATGGTCAGCTGATTGGCTGATAATGAAGCTGTGATGTAAGTAATGTCGCTTCAGAAAGCCAGTAGATCATTACCTGACTTGGAGGAAACACAGCTGTATTGTCAACTAAATAGCTGTCGATATATCTGGTTAGGTGTATTAAACAAATTCACAGAGACTGTAGTCCTCATGAGATTCATCATAAATCACTTCTTATTACTCAGTGTGGGAACATCAACTGAATATCTGAGTCCTTTTTTTCTCCATTACAGGCCAAACCTATACTAACGATTGAACCAGGTTTAGGCTATCTATTTTCTGCAAAGTGGTCTCCAGTGCGTCCATTAGTATTTGCATTGGTCACTGGTGAAGGCCACCTACTTATATACGACTTGAAAACCAGTAAAATTAACCCAGTATACTCACTGGAAGCAGGTGATAAGAAAGAAGCTGTGTACACGCTAGAATTCAACCAAAGTCAGTAAGTACTATTCTATACTTAACAAATTTTCACTCTGATCTGCACTTGTACATGTATAAACGAGAGAAAGAATTGTAATCAAGAACTCCAAGACCAATCTTAAAAAGGCCTGTGCAGTGAAATATGTTGAAAAGAGCTAATACATTGAATAGACAGTACAAATTACACTGCATGCTACAGTAAATGAAGAGAAACCTCAGTTAAAACAGTTTTGAAGAAAACTTCAAGCTAGCTACCCTTGGGGGCGGAGCTATGTCACAAGACGTTCCATGTTGCTAAGACGCGCACCACTGTACCACGTATTTCTATGGGCTCTGTGCGCGCTGCTGTGGAACGCGGAACGCCGAGCGAAGAGCCGGTGAAAATTCAAGAAGACAAAAGGAACTCAACTTTGAAGTAATGCTGAACAATCAAATTTATATGCGTTACACATGCAGGGGAGTCCCAACAACCATCCGAAAGTACCGTTTTCTGCAAGTTTTCGGCCTTTGTTTTCACCATGATGGTTGCCATGCGGTGAAAATGTCCGGATGTCTGCCCCCGAGGATTGTTCATCTGTTGGAACTTGATATTCCATTCAATCACTTGATGTCATCTTGGGGAATATATTTCACATGAAAGGCGCTGTCAATCCCACTCTGAAGAAACACAGTGAAATTTTACTTAGTCTAGTCTAATGCATTATTAATAAATTGCATATGATTCATTGTAGATAAATTAAAAGTTGTATCCTGTAGTTTCTTTACTATACAACACTCAGTTGAAACAATCAAGGAAATCTTGCTTCACTTGCTAGGGTTGTTGACTGAATTAGAAAAGCCAGATTACTAGAATCATGTATTTCAATATAAAATATAAACTTACCAAACTCTCCAAAATCAGATTATTTATTGTAATTTCACATATATATATATTTAAATATAGTAAATGAGCAATAAGTTAAATACAATTTACCCTTAAAATTACTATTTATATATAGAAAAATCAAAATTTGGTAAAACAAAATGTTATTTATATAGACAAAAAACAAAAAATGTGTGTTTTGGTTCATTGCACACATCGATGAAATCTGTTATTTCATTTCATTTCATAATTTTATTTCAACTCAAAGAAAGTATGCCATCTATGGAAACTGAATAAAAGCAGGCAAAAATGACCGCTTAGTCATAAGAGGTTGTATTATAAGTACTGCACTTTGCTGGAGAGCAAAAAACAAAATGAATAAAGTTTAAAAATAAAATAACAGATAAATAAAAATTGTAGGTTAAAAAAAATTAATAGTGTTAAAATGAAACAAACCTTACTTTCTCGGGCGTGTGATCTCTCACTTGTCTAAATTAAGACTTGTATCACCATGGAGAGATTTTTATAGCATAGCTCAAATTATCGCTTGTGCTCAAGAGTACCATTTAGACCTCAAACCATTTTCAAGTCAAGGCCTAAATAAAAACCATCTATAGAAAAAAGGAACAGTTTTGATATAATATAACATTACAGTTGGACCTATATTAAACTCTATTGGCTATCCATGTATCTAATAATATTTAGAGCGTGCTAGAAAACTTTCTACTAACACATGGTCCGCATAAATATTGTTTTTCTCAACAGATTTGGAATGAAAGAATATGGGAATGAGTAAGTAGGATCAGAGTGGGTTGTTGTGGGCCAAGTTTTTCAGCTCTCTTAAATGTGCCATTAGAAAGTGTAAAAATGCATTTTGCTTTATTTCTCTGCTGTCTATTCAAAACTTTAACTTCTTTTAGTTAATGTAGTTTATTGTAAGTTGGTGTATGGTGTAGTTCAAGCCAAGTGTGGGATGTTTATTGCTTATGTTTTATCAATGCAGTATGCCAATGCACTGACTATATTGTTTGGTTTATAGTGGTAGCAATATCAGTATTATATATTTTTTACAGTATTACCTTAGGACCATACTGGGGATATGTCACCTATGTTTTGAACAAAATGAAGTCACTTTACCACCAAGGAAAAATTGAATGAGATTTAGGCACTTTTCGACACTATATTGGGGGAAAATGTTAAAATCTAAACTGACAAAAAAAATGGAATAACATTTATCCACATGGGTGGCACATGCGTGACTTGTGCTCAGTATATGTGTGGCACATGGGTGACACATGATTAGTGAATGTACATGCACATGACCCATACACATGTACATGTACCTCACAGGTGGCAAGCACATGGCTGATAGGGTAGCACAATGCCATGGAGCATGCCGAAACACGATCTTGAGGATGTATAGCATCTATCCAATGTTGATATATTCAGAAATAACCAATTGATGCTGAGCTAGAAGAGATATAAACATTCAAAATGAGTTGTTGGTGAAAAAAAGTTGATTTTACATCGTTATTATTATGACATACAGTCATTGGATTAATATAAAAGTGCTCATATGAGACGATTTACAATTTGTGTACCTGGCTATTGTGTTTTTACTAGAACAGTATGTCATAGCTTTACATTTGTATATATATGTCTAAGCATTACCCCCTTTGCTTGGTGTAAACTCATTAAAAACATTCCAATAAAATGCTTGAAAATATTTGCATGTGCTATTTCAGTTAAAATTTGGCTACATTCCTTGAATATTGCATTAGAATTTTATATTATTTTAAAAATATCTGAACTTTGAATTATCAGTACCGTAAAATCTGTATTAGAAGCCGCATCCCTAATAGAAGTCGCACCCATTCTTTTTGAATAATTGAGAACCAAAAATTCGTCATTTTTCATATGTGTAGATGCTCTAATAGAAGCCTCATCCCCTCTATTGCATTGTACCATTTTAATAGAAGCTGCGGTTTCTAATACAGATTTTACAGTAGTAGTTATTATATAGCTATAATAAATATTATGCTAAATTTGTGTTTTTTTCCTGTATATATTTACTATTCATATATTGATTGAATACTGGTATTGTTAAATTAACCTCGATCAAAGTTTTTAGACAAGTCCAGAGCTGTGGGTTGAATAGACACTGCTGTGCACTTGATACCAGTCTGTATTCTGCTTTGTGCCATATTGTCTATCGGTCTACCCTCCCCCAGTTGTGTAGAAATGGTATCAACTGCAATTGGTTGTTGCTTGTAAAGTACTTGAGTAAAAGAGAGGGACTTGAAATGAAAAGTAAAACCAATAACGAATGATGACCTACACTTCTCTTTATTTCTTTTTCCGAAGACTTTTTGCCACTTCAGAATTAAAACCAGTAATAGAATATTCATAATGATCTGCATGGTCAGAACTGAATCGTGGCCATCCACAACAGACTTTGATACTGCATTACGTCAAAGTTGGTCATTCTTTCATTCTTGTTTTTTGCAGACGTCAGTTACTGGCCACTGGTGATGGGAAAGGCGTTGTCAAAATTTGGCAGCTTAGTGACGAGTTGACAACACAAGGATCAAGAGAGGTGGACGTGTTGGCTGAAATGGCTGCTTCTGCGCTGGATTAATTTTGCCACTGACCATCAAAACGTCAACATTAAATACATCTGTAAATTGTATGTACTTCCAAGACTACATGTACTGTAGAATACTTTATTTTCGCTTGGAATTTATTTTCGCTATTTTCGCTGAAGGGATGATTCCGTGAAAATAAAATCCAGCGAAATATACTTTTTGACTCCCGTGTGCGAAGCACAAAAGGTCTTTGCAGTTACCCTGTCTGTCTGTATGTCTGTATGTCTGTATGTATGTATGTCTGTATGTATGTATGTCACTTTTTTTGTTCCACCGTTATCTCAAGAACCACTAATCAAATTTTGGTGAAACTTGGTAAATAGATACTCTGGGATAATGCGCAGAGTTGATTAGGTTTTGGTAAAAATTTATGAATATTAATTACCTAATTTGCATGATAATTAGCTGATTTTTAGCTGTTTCAAGACTGTTCCACTGATATCTGAAGAACCATTAATTGGATTTTGATGAAATTTGGCACATGGATGCTCTGAACTAGTGCGCAGATTTGATTAGTTTTGGCTAAAAATCTATGAATATTAATTACCTAATTTGCATGATAATTAACTGATTTTAAGCTGTTCCACTGATTTTTGAAGAACCACTCATTGGATTTCAATGACACTTGGTACATGGATGCTCTGAATTAATGCGCAGATTTGATTAGTTTTGGGTAAAAATCTGTTAATATTATTAATTACCTAATTTACATAATGATTAATCAATTTTCGGTTTTTCCACTGATATCTCAAGTATTAATCATAACATTTCAATAAAACTTGGTACATAGGTGTCATATGACACTGCACAGACCTGATAGTTTTTAGGGTAATATCAGTACATATTAAGTACCTAATTTGCATAATTAATTAATTTTCAGCTTTTGATATTTCGAGTAGTAATGATCACGTTTCAATGAAACTTGGTACATAGTTACTTGAGGACTGTG